GATAACAGAAATGTTATTTAATTAATACTCGAATTGAAGAGAAGAAATCAGAATTTTTTGAGCACATAATTAATGAAAATGTAATTGACTTAATAAAGATGATGAAATAGGCTAGTTTTTTAAAAGAACAAACTTTGACATGGATCAAATCTAGCGCTATATTAATAAGCATGACTAATTAATTCTAGTACCGTTTTGTACCGCATATTTATGATCACAACTATTTTGCTATTGTTTGTTGTTATTTTAATAAAAGTTTCTTTGTTATAATTGGAAGGTTTTTACATTGTTTCCAGTTACATGTCGCTTATTAGTTTAATGTGATAGAAAAAACAGAAAACTACTGATGGCATATGTCATAGTGGTGAAATATATGAGTAGTTGACTTTCCTATGAATTCACTGATATACTCTCATTACCTAGAAACATAAGCTCTGCACATTTTTTTTTTGGTTTTTTTAGGAGAGTTTTAAGCCTTATATCTCGTGACTAGGAAAAGATATAACTCGGAAATTTTTAGCGTCTATAGAACTCATGACGCTCTATGAATTCTCAAAATTTCAAATTTATATCTCTTCCTAGTCACGAGATATAAGGCCTAAAACTCTCCTAAAAAACTAAAAAAAAACTGCAGAACTGATGTTCCAAGGTAATAGTTAATAAGAAGACTACCAAAAATGTTATTAAACAAATTTTTATATGATGAGATTAGGATGAAAAATTTGTTGTTCTAGACCTAAACTAGCTTGAAGTTTAAACCGTTAAAGATATCAATCGAAGATGTAAAACTAAACTTAATCAACAACTGATTTTATTCGTGAGGCAGCTGATGACTGATCAAAATTTTGTAAACTTATACGTCAAACTTAAAATCTATTAAAAAAACGAAGAGCGTAGTGGCTGTTTAATTTAATCAGTATTTCAGTTCAAAATTGTAATATGTCAAACATTTTTTATTCTTTTGCTCAAAATCGGTATCAAGTCAGCATAGAATTCTTGATGTTGTTTTACCATTTTAATAAATATTCAATGCATTATCTCTCATTTTTATAGTTACTGATAATAATCATGATATAATTGAGGATGCAAATAAGACAGATAAAGATGGATGTCAATTGGTTATAATACTTGTTAACAGTGATAAATCGTTGCATTTAGGTTTGACTGACGGTAGTAAAGCCGTAAGCCATGTATAAAGGCATGTATTGTCAAACATAATATAATTTACAGAGTTTTAAGTTGATATTGTTTTATAGTGTTTTACAAATTTGACGAAAAGAAAAAAGAAATATGCAATCCTCTACACATGCAACACTAATCCGTTAAGGTTAGGATCTTATAAAATAAGAAAAGCAAAAGGAAGGAAGGAAAACAGAAGAAAAATACTTGTTTATTATTAAAAGAATAATATAGAAAGATCTTACACCTTTATTCATATGTTTTTTATATTTACTAAGCACGAATTATAATTTAGTTTGTTATCAATTTAATCTTAAACTAAATCAATGAGAATTAACTATTGATTTATTGAATTAAAAGATTAATCTTTCTTTAAATTCAACTCTTGAAAACAACTTGTTTTTTTAATTTTATTTCAAAAGACCTTTTAGAAATATTGTTTTTCGATAACGAAACCTTTACTGAGGTTAGAACTTGACATCAAACATTTACAAATATTCATGATGTTTAGTACAGTTACTTTTGAATCAAACTGATGTTTTTTTTTTATTTCTCTATTGTTAAATGTTTTTTTTAAACTTTCGATATACGAACAAATAACAGGGAAAAAAAGTATCTATGAATCGATGATAAATCAAATAGAATTCAGTCACTCTTCTGATAGCTCATATAAGAAGTTATGTCTTGAATAAAGATCATTGACTTCAGTGCTTTTTTTTATAAGTCCTTCAGAACATGACCTAGTTTCTACATTCTATGAGAAGTATTTTTTCGATTAATATATTTTTGAACGTTACTACTTGTTATAATATTAAACGTACGATATTTTTGATTTCATTAGTTTTTGAAATATACTGTGATGCATTTTTTCTTTAAATAGAACAAAAAATTTTCGTCTGTTTAAGATTGAAACACGGTAAAGAGTCTCTAATTATCTGTGATTAAAGTAAAAAGTTATTTCTTTTATAACTTCTAGTTATATACAGTCGCAAAAACTAGGCAATTACAAGGCAGATTTTTTTTTGTAGTATACAAAAATAGATTCAACATCAATTCCTACAATCATATTGATTCATTGTTCTGTCATTTTAAATTGCTTGTATTTACCATGTGTTTTAATGAAATTTATTAAATAATAAAAGTACTACTTCATCTTATACAATATGACATAAGTCATGACCAGTAAACTAGTACTGACTTGGATCATTTATCATCCAATGTGGTTTTAATCGTTTGTTCAAAAGTACATAAATATACGCTATACGATAGATGATAACTAATTATGCTATTTATATACTTTATTTCTGTATGAGTCTTTGATTTTGACTGTTGAAAAGAGTTGCCGCTGTTATAAATATCAAAAAGATAGTCGGTTAGTTTCGTAAAAATGTTCTATATTCTTGGTCTAAACTCAAGTAATTATTCGATATATATCTATAATCAATCTTACTAAAACGTTCAGTAGTTACATGTAAAAAGATATAAAATAAAAGATTATTTAGATTTAATGACACACAAACTTGTTAAGTCATGAGAACTCAAAATCGACACATGATTATTTCCTTTTCATTTATTTGTTCAGCAGAACAATGAGAAACGTAGAGAGATTATTAGTAATATAAATAATATTGTTAGTATTAGTATGTACAGCAGCATTATCATATATTCTAATTATAATGCATAGTTATTTAAAGTAAACAAATATCTTCACCGTACAAATATGACTTTATCATTTCAATACCATCATACATATAGTTGATTATCATTTCTATTAGATGTGTTTATATAGTCAATATGTAGGTACTGCAGCCATCAATATGATCCTATCTAATTAGAAAATTTTAAATAGTTTTGTTGTTTTGACATATGTCAAACTCTATATTGTACATAAAAATGGAGATGTTGTAACTATTTTTCATATGTCAAATCATCTCACGTTTCAAAATAATCCTATTCGTTAACCAGTCTTGGGACTTTGTGATAAACGTATTCCAATGGCATTTAATCTATTTATACGAGTACGTCTCATCAATAAGAAGCAAAATGATATTATGATCATGCATAGAGTTTCCATTAAAAGTCATTATTATTTAGCTCACTAATAGACAAATAATGAAATTAAAGAATTTTTGTTTTCTCGCAACAGTATGAATAACAAACAATACATTCAATCTGTTTCTTTTGTTTGCGACTTTTTTCATATTTCATATTGATCTAGCGAAGTTTAATTCAAGCATAAAATTGTATTCAACATCAATTATTTCATTGTGTTTATTGATCCATATTTTAAATTCTTTATATATAACTATTTCACAGAAGCATGTACAATTAAATTCCACATAAATATGAAGTAATTAAGAACGATATTTTGTTATTGTTTTTCTCAAAATGGAAAAGTTTTCTTTCATTATAGAAAGAAAACAATGTATATTAACAAATTTTTCTTAAGAAAACATTTTATAATTAACTATTTCATTTTATATTCGATCTTAATATTATTCCGTTTGACCGAATTAAACTAGAAAATTTAATCAAATAATATGTCAATATTTCCTTCAATGATTTTCAGTTACCTAAATAGATTCGAAACTGAATTCATTTCAGAGACAGGAAGATCGTCATAGTAGTTTATCAGGAAATTTGTCATTCAGCATGAATGAATACTAATCTGGTGAGAAAGAAAAATAAGAAGATAATGTCAGTTCGCTATTTTCTTAACGAATCTTGCCAGTCATACCGTTATATTTGAGCTGACAACCTTGTACACATATAAACTGATCACATACTATATAGAAATACACCAAGATGAGAAGAAAGAGAATAACATGAAGAATTCTCATAATTTACAATAGTCGCCTGCGAGATGATCTAGACTAATCAGTAGGAAGAACAAGGCAAAATGTGCGAGAATAAGGAAAAAATCGACATTTTTCTATATAACTGAGTTTGGATGCGAACAAGAACTATTCTGATTTGCTTTATAGTAAAACTTTAAAAAAAATTTTATCTCTTGTCGTGTTGATCTCTTTATAAATAATCTACTTTGTTCAATTTTTTTACAATTAAATAATTTAATTTTTTTCTGAAAAATTGAAATCGTCTTCATTTATTATACACATGTATTTTTATGTTTAATATTATCTTACTAGATGTTATGTGAAACTTCAAAAAGAATTTTTATAGTAATATCGACGATGACATATATTATTTATAAGTAATAAAGAAAAATAATATGACAAAGAAAAACTTAAATCAGGTAAGTACAATAATCGTATGCATGCGTGCAAAGAAAAGTAAAAGGAAAGAAACTTAGTGGAGACGATATTAAGAACAGAATTATAGGCTTTCGCTTTTTTTTTTTCTCCTGTTCTTCTCTTTCTTCTTTTTCTTTTTCTTCTTGCAGAGCTGTTATTTGAACAAGTACAAAGAAAACTCAATTCTGACTGCTTGCTTTATCATACAACATAAACGAGAAAGGGAGAGGAAACTCCGAGCGACGAGTTTTTTTTTCACAAGAAAAAGAGAAAAAGAAAAAAGAGACGACTGCAATCGAAGAATTGCATCGTTCATTTATTCAGTTGTTTAGTTTATCACCTTACTGTTGCATTATAAAATATTATATATATATATCTTCATTATTAAGTAAACGAACCAAATATCCTTTATTTCTGCATGAATTCAATATGAAAATCATTTCTTTTAATCCAAAGTATATAATAATATGATGTTGCAAGGAAAAAATAAGCAATGAATCAACATCTTGTTTTTATTCTCTTCGTTAACTATAAAGATGAACATCGATTCCCAACAACAATATATTAATGGATGTTATTATAGCTGCAGTTGGTGAATTTATCTGGGCATCATCGTATATATTATAATTTAGAGTTATATAGATTTCGTTTTTCAATTTATTTTTATTTATTTTAGGTGTGCTGTGGTAAATTTTTGTCTTAGTTCAGGCCTTAGTGTTCTTGCCGTATTTGTCTCATTTCTTTGTGCTATTCTTGCATCAGCCTTTTATAAATATACGACAAGTCATCAACACATGTCGCTTGATGATGCTACATGTGCTCTTAGCGATCATGATTACGATGATCTAGACAAGCCTATTACAGTAACACTACCAACAGAAGAACCGATAGAACCATCATTACCATTAATAATAATTGACGAATCAAATAATATTAATGATAGTCGATCATTATCTGAAGTTGACATATCTTTAGAAGGAAATACAAATGGCAATGAAATAGATAATGAACAAACATCAGATAATATATTAGTTGATACTGTTGAAGGTTCTGAAGAAGAAATTCAAAAAAAACAAATAGCTAATATTTATCGTCTTTTAAATGATCAAAATTTAATTAATAATTGGACAACAACTGATTTTGTTGACCAACTTAAAATGTATGGATTTCAGACATATGATGACGATGAACTAGAACTACCTTAAAAAAAATATATATCTTAAGTTCTTTTTTTTTTGTTTTTATGAACTGTTGTAAAATTATGTCGTTATTTAGACAACGCTTTACGTCATTTTCATGTAGTTTATATTGATCTTATTCACAAACAAATTTGTGATGTTCAGTAGATTATCTAGATAGATCATTTTAGTTGTATAAAATTGTATAGGAATTTATTTTCAAGTTTTTGCCAAGACATAAAATACTCAAAGATATTATTAATGATTTCGTTTTTCCTTTAGAGAAAAATAAAACTATCGTAATTATTGTATTCTAAGTCTATAATAATTTCCTTCACTCATTTATTTTAAATTTGATATTGAGGATTTTTAAGAAAATAAATTTCGAGACTAATATGAAACACATTCTAGTTTTATAAAAACAAGAAACCGTCCATCAAAAACGAAAAATTTACAACGTCTTAAAATAGAACTTGCATCAAAGAAATCTTTTTTTTTGAAAAAATGTAAAATGATATTCTAGAAGGATATAAATTTTCATATATAATTCATCACACGTGAACAACATTTTTATCAGTTTTAGAAAAAAAATTGCGTGACATTGTCTTTAATAATAAACGAATATATATGGTTTTGTTCTCTAAGGAATGAAATCGAAAGATCAAGAACTTCTATGATTTCGGGTCGAACAAATGTGCATCAAAGTTATAATTATTTCATCTATAAATCGGCAATGATAGACAAATATAAATCCACCCATATATGTTGTTTACTCGACTTATATTTCACCAAAAAAAAAAACAAATTTATCAACAGAAAGTAAAAGAAGTTCATATGATTTTTAAGTTAAGCATTTAAAGGTGATACCTTTATTGAGACTCCATTTCTTTATCAAAATATCGATGTTTTTTCAATTATTACTAGTTAAGATTGACATGAACTCTTATTAGAACTACATTTTTTAAGGTTTCGAAAATATGAATACAAAGAGAAAAGAAGCATTATACATGGCTACATATTTTGCGGTAAGAAGTCATTTTACTGCATCGTTGTTAAAGTAATCATTTAATTAAAGATAAAATCATACCTAGAAAAAGATTTTATAGCCTTTATTATCGGATAAAATGGTGTCCAATCGGGATGTTGTAGATTCTGTACCAATACTTGTATATATTCATGCTGTTTATCTAATCCTCTAGATAGTATTATCAATTTGTAGGCACCAACACCTCGTCAAGTCCATTTGGATATCAATCAACTCAAATCAATCTCTGACAAACAAGAATATGATTTTTTATCATGATAGAAAGATTATCTTTGTTATTTAAAATGTCTGTTGCAATTGAAAAGAAACTCTTCATAGTGGAAGAGAGAGAAAGACAAAATTCATTAAAAGTAATTCATCTAGATATAGAGTTTATAAATGAATATCAATTTAGAGAAAACTGTATACAACGAAATGTTTGGATAACATTGGGTGTGGGCATAGTTATTATTATATTGGGTTGTGCTGCTGGAATACCAGTAGCAATGAAAACGAACCAGAATCGTGAATCAACCACTAGTACACCGTTGCTTGGAGCAGGTTTGAAAGATAGTCAATGTTATGCAAATATAATTTATAGCCTTTTCATCTTTAGTTATATTTTTGAATACAATGTCTAATATACCTGGTTTGTTAAGTTTAACATCCTATAAATCATACTTCACATTTTTTTCGATGTTCTAGTATCTACAGTATCGAATATTTCAATGCCATTACCAACAAGTAAAAATTATCATTGATTAATTTAATTTCTTTAAAATAATTATTAACTCTTGTGATAAGCACATCATCTACTGCTACTAGATATGCTCAATAAAAACTTAAGGTTTTTTTTTTCTTTCTCAAAATCATACTTTGCGGTTTAATATGTTCGACATCGTCTAATCCTACTATTGTATAAATTACGCATAAGTTTTCGAAAAGTTCAACATTACTCATATTCTTTTTTTGTGTTAAATATAACAGTACCAACTACAGATTCTTGTAGTTCTCGGAGTAGATTTAATTCTGAAGATTGTATGTTGAAATTGTTTTGTACTGATAGTGTTGACTTCGACTATTAGTAAAAGCAGCAAAGGTCTCACCAATGCGTTTCAAATAATTAAGTTGTTTTCATTTATAACTTTCATTTCAATGAGTAATATTCACATTTGTTAGGAAAGAATTATCTACGAGGTCCTCTCATGAATGATTTCTTTTCTTTTTATTTGCTACATTGATGCTAATCAGCGCAACTACCTCCTCAACAACTTGTAAATCTAAAATCAAAATCATAGTTCTAAATAGAATCTGAGTTCAAATGTATTCTATGGCAACATCAATCACTAGCACAATTAATATTAATATTAGTTAGTTTCAGTATCCATTTGATCCAAGTTTTTAATCCTTTGCATTGTTTTAGCGTCTACTTCAACAACAACAACTGAAACAAACTGTAAGTACTTTACAACAGCTATATATACAACAATAATTAATACGGTTACTGCCAGTAAAAGTTTTCTCTAAATCTTGGCTACCAATCCTTCTTTCTATCATAAACTTCGACCATTTCAGACACTACAAGTGAAATTTTCCTATTTCAGTTTTCTTTTTCAAGTAATTATTTCATAGGCATATCAACATCGACCAAGTTCACAACATCTGAAACAACTAGTGAGTCTCACATAGTTTTAAAACGACACTTCAATGTCGATTTATCCTTATTCTTTAACAACTTCTACAGCAAGCTCAACTACTAAAATTAGTGAGTATTTTATTTTCTCAATCGACAATCCAATCGTTTTTAATCTATTAGTATACACTTCGTCAACGACAACTGACACAACAACTAGCAGTGAGATTCTTTTTGTTGATCTTCTTCGTAAATTTTTGTTTCTAGCAACAAATTCGACTACTTCGAGCACACCAAGTAAGCTTTTTCAATTTAAGTTTTCGTTCTTAACTGATTGTCTCTTAGGTGCATCATCATTGACCATGTCCACAACATCTGAAACAATCTGTAAGATTGAAATAATATTGATGAATGATGTAGAATGGTGATGTTCGTTTGTTTCGCAGTAAGCTCAACTACAAGTTCAATTACTGAAAGTAGTGAGTCCAATATTTTCTTGTTCCACTATTCAGTTCCACATATTTTCTCAGTTTCGACTTCGTCAATACCAACTGTCTTATCCAGAAGCAGTATGATATGTTCTCGTTCACTCTTTTCATCTATCTCTGTTTTTAGCTTCAACTTCAACTACTTCAGACACGACAAGTAAGATTCTAGAAGTTGGGTCTTGTTTCAAGTAATAGACTCTTAGATACATCATCATCGACCACGTCGACAATATCTCAGACAACTTGTAAGATGACATTATTGCAAAATCTTTTAGATGAAAAAATGGTTTATGGTTGTACTAGCAACCTCATCAACAACCTTTACAACAACTACCAATACCATTTGTAAGTATTTGATGATCGATGATTTTTTTCGTCAAGCCTTAAATTGCTGGTTTCTTTAGCAAACTCAGTCTTGTTCACTTCAACAACCACGGATACTACTAGTATTAGTAAAATGTCTTTCTTTTTGCTTAAACATTCAAAATGTTGTTTGTTCTTTTCAGCAACAAGTTCCATAACAACTGTCCCAACATGTATGATCTGTTTTTTATCTTTTATCTTGCTTCATTCATCCTTTTTCTTTTTTGGTATCCTGTAATTTCATACCGCAACTTCAGCAAGTACAAGTACCTCTAATAAGTTTTAGTATTGCAAAAAATACAATTTCTTTAAATTTAATGTATTATATCAACCTTAACATCCATAACTTCAATTTATCAGTATTCATTTGACATATTTTATGATATAAAACTTTGATATTTTAGCTCAGATTTAAATTATTTTGCCTTTCTCTTTAGCAACAAGTTCAACTACATCCATGACAACTTGTTAGTTTTTTTCATACTTATGTCTGCTCGTATATCGGATAAACTCTAAATTTTTAATTTACTAATTCAGTCACATCAACGAATTCCACAATAAGTAAGAGATCATTTTATCTTTTTTTCGATTATGTTACATTAAAATATATTACTTTATATTATTATATTACACGAAAAGAAAAATATACTATTTATGAATTCTTGTCAACAATTGAAGTTTAGTAGAGCTATGCAATTAGTTAATGAAGCTCTTACCTTTAGTATATATTTTGTTGTATAATATAAATCACTATATGATATTTCTTCCATTAAATATTGTTTAAAGAATGTTTTCTCTTATGTTTCTAAATTAACTATGTCTATTTTGATATTTCTTCTATTTTTTGTGTAAACTTTTAGGTTCGACACGTTCAACAACAAGTAAGAGAAGCATAATTTATTAGAAATATCCATATGACAGCAATATTTTCATAGCAACAAGTACGACAACAAGTTCGTCAACTTGTAAGTTTTTTTTCAAAGGTATTTGCGAGATTTCTCATCGTCCACTGAGGAATTTTCTTTGTTCAGCGACAACAACTCGTACCACAATGACCACTAGTATGTATTCAAATATATTAATCTTTAAAGAAAACTTTATAAAAGTTTTTTTTGACTTTTTTTAGGTGTAACAACAAGTGAATATTTCTCTATTATCACAATTTTATTTCTAATTAAGTCACCAAATATTCACTACGATTATAGCTACAATCACAATGGTACCACCAAATTTATTAGTGAATTCCGGTGGTGATTCTGGTCTTGTTAATTGGCCACAAACTGGTCCAGCAACAGCTATTCAAGATACTGGTGGAACGATTAATACTGGTTATAACCCACGATCGAGTGCTGGAATGTTTTCTGGTGGTTATGGGTCAGGTGGATCATCAGCAGGTCTTTATCAAATTGTCAATCTATTTGGTGGTATACACAATTTTAATGCTGCTTAGCTTGATTCAGGAACATTACAAGTTGAAAATAAATTTTATTATCAGAACTATTATAATTTCTTTCTTTCTACGGATGAAGCTCAAGTAATTGTCACATTTAGATCAGCAACTAATACTACATTAGGCACTGTGAATTCGGGATTACGAATTTGTGGAAGTAATCCTGGTTGTTGTTTGTATAGCACGACTTCAGGTCTTCCTTTTGGCACTCGAAGTATACAGTATATGATGAATTTTATTCGAAATGATGGTACTGATATTGATTCTTACATTGATGACAATTCACTTTGAGTTATTTAGTTAGAAGAATATTATTGAACTGTGTGAATCCGAATAAATTCAATAGTTAGTTTTATGATTGTGTGTAATTAATAGATACTATCTTATTCTTTTATATCCTTTGATAAATAGTTCTGTGCTCATTTCATCGAATGAATATTATCTTATACATTAGGATAAAATTTTATTGTTGCATCATTTGTTTTTGATCAATTAAATATCACAACAATAGAAAGAATAGAGACTTATATAAAAGAAAAAAAAAGACTAATATACTAGATAAATTGTTGTTAACTATTAGATTTGTTTTACTTTAGAAATGTTGAAAGGAAACACATTGAAAATTTCAATTAACAAAACATGCTTTGTTTTTGGTATAAGGAGTGTTAGTGTGTGGGGTTGATTGTAGTCTTCACTTTACCTACACTAACACACCCTGGAAACGTCACGTTTTCAATATTTTTTCAGGAAGATATTGCTATGATTTTTAATAGAGTAAATAATAAACTTTACATCGAATGAAAGCTCATCGAAAATGGAATTCATCAGTAATAAATAGTAAAAACTGCGAAAGCTTTTCAAGGTCGAATTCAGAAAATTTCTATATACTCGCTACTAACATAGAAAATTTCCTGTTATGAGTCCGTTCAAACTAGATCTGATGTAAAACGACGAATATCACTAAGTAGTATTTGTTTTTTTTAAGGTTCAACAAATTCAAGTCATAATCAATATGACAAGTACGAGCATTCTTTACAGCATGCAGATGAGATGGATACAACCATAAACGAATTGAAAATTAATTAAAATTAGTTTCCATGTTCATCAAAACATAAAATGTGTTTTTTTCAGAGTTCTTTCATACTAATGATTACGTGCCATCTCTGATAGCATTTTTTAACTTCATTTTGGATTAGTGTTCTAATATTTTCAGGTCAAGTGTCTGTTTCTTTGTACCATTCTATATTTTGGAATCCGATCTGGTTTGAACTGCCTTGTAGTAGCAATGTTTCTGTGCCGGTAGGGAGTAAAGTTTTCGAAATTTTCTGAATTCGACATTGAAAAGCTTTCATAGCTCTTACTATTTAAACTGATAAATCCCATTTTCAATGAGTGTTCATTTGACATAAAGTATACTGTTTATTCTATTTGATATCATAGGAATATTCTCGTGAAAAAATATCATTTTATAGCTAATACAATTATTGATTTGAAATTTTTTCGGTCGATTTTTCTACGGCCAACCTTATGTGTCCTTCATCTATAGTTCTCTTGCTTGTATTTAAGTGCCAGAAACTAGTCTGCGGGTCATATTTATTTGATGTGAAATATTTTATTCAATCCATTCTATCATTACATAGAATTGTCGTTTTCATCTGTCCACTAAAATTTCATAGAAGAAAACTAATCTTAGTAAAAATATTCATTGAAAAACCAAGTAATTAATATTTATACAATCAATTCCACGAAATTTTATTATGTTTTAACATCTTTTGATACAATAAAACATTCTATACTATAAGAAGACGAGACAATTTATAACACACAAAAAAAAACTTCTGAAAATTCAGATATCAGATGACAATTCCTAATTACTTGAATTTAATTTGAAATTCACATTGTAGTAGACTGTTAAAGCTACTTTTTTTCTTGAATAAAATATTCAATGACAAAGATTTCATTTTCATTTCATTAAGATTTGTTTTAAAGACATATGTTAAATTTTATAAATCAAGTGGCCAGTATATTACTATACGAGAATGAACAATGAAATGAATTAGAAAAGAAAAAAAAACGTGCAAAACTTAGAGAAAATCTGACCCTCACATGTATGTGTAAACGTGCAAATACTTCACTATCTATCGTTCTGTTTTCTTACATACAAGAGGACTATATAAAGCAGTAAAAGAAGAATATTAAGACAAGAAAACAAAACAAGAATATAACAAGCAAGAAAAGGACAATAGATAATCATACATAGAAAAAAAAAAGATATGATAAAATTTATAAAAAATGAACAAATACATGTGAGGCAGATGATGAAATTCCTGATAGAAAGAAAAGAGAACACTACAGACTACAAATAATATTATATTTCATTTGCTGTTTTTTTTTTTTTGATAAAGAAAGTAAAAACATACAGGCACATAAACACATTGTATACAGAAGAAAAAAAAAACAAGACAACGAGGCAAGTATTTAGAACTCTCCATATATGTTAATAATTCTTTAATATTTAAATCAAAGACCCGTTTTTGATACTCGTCGATCTAAGTAATAATATAGATAGATAAGACCTATATAAAGACAATCAATAAAACATACCTGCAAATCCAACCAATTTAGTATGCGTAGCTGGTACTTCTGAAGATTGTGTTTCTGAATTTGTATCATTAATAATTGGTTCAATATGAACAATAGTTGGTAATGTTCGTGATGTTATTGGATAATTTCTTTCACGATACCATTGAACAGATTTTTTATCAAGTACAAGTAATTCAAGATCATCACGTCCCATATGATGTTTTATTTTATCTAAGATCGTTTCATATGTTAATCCATTAATAATCGAACCATTTATTTCAATGATACGATCACCATCCCGTAACCCACAAACTGCTGCTGGTGAATGTTTTGTTACATCAGAAATGAATACTCGACTAAATTAAATCAAATAATATCATGAGAAAGAATTATCATGATAAGAATATATTTTACCCATTTTTTTTTGGATCACCACATAAGAAAAAGCCATAAAATGGTGATGTTGCAAATTTTCGAATACGACAAAGACGTGCAACCGGTGCATCTTGTGTTAAAATATCTGATAATTTATTTATTGAACCTTCTACATATATAGTAAAACAAAATTCATCATAGCAATAATTTAGACAAAGAAAAACTTGTTAGTGCAGTCCCATTAAGAGAGAAATGTGGAATTCACATGTATTCTTTAACTTCATTTTTCTAGTACAAAATATGTGAAATGAAAAATTGCTTTCAGACTAGTTGTTTTCTGAGATAATCGGTCATCAGAGTTTATTTCTACATTTTCTTTTCTTTATCGGTGCTCCAAACATTTATATTGATTACTTTCGAACACTATAAGTTGATCAGTTCACACTTTTTATGTGGACCATATAACTACTGAGGCAAATCACTAGTCATCATATTTAACATCTTGAATATAAATTTTTATCGATGCAATAAGTAAAAACTACACTGTTTCAAACACTCACAAACACATTTCAGTCATTCAGATTTCGAGGCATGTTTCGAGATGTTCTAGAACACCCTCAAGTCTTGTTGTTAATACCGTTCAGCAACTTTTTCCTATTGCTAATGAATTCTGGAATGGAAGTTTGACGCTTGTTGTCCTCGGTTATCATGGAAACATAATCAATGAATACTCTGGTTGTTAAAATCTGTAATGGAGAAAGTGACTGAGGAAGGAGCATAACGAAAAAGCGAGTCTCGCTTTTCCGCCTTGGTGCAAAATCACAAAACTTGCACTTAAAATCTCCACTCGCTATTCTCTTCGAAAATATATGAGTTTCGCAAAAAAAAAGAAAATTAAATAAATAAACCTACTTTCGGATGAAGGTGAAATATGTTTTGCTAGATGAATTCTAGTTGGAGACGCCGTAATTCCTAGAAAATTAAAAAATTAAGAAGAAAATATAATAAAAAATTTATACCTGTAGAAAGTGCAGGTACACTTCCACTAAGAGCACGATTTGTAACATTATCAAGGTGTTTCAATTGTCCAGGTAAATTTGGATAACTCGTAGCAATTTTTTGTAGATTAAGACTATCAAATGGACTTACTGAACTATTTATATCAGATAAATCATCACCCGAAACACCTGTTGTATTTTGTGAATGAATCGCTGTTGTTGTTGTTACTGTATTATTGTTATTGTTATTGCTATTTAATAAACTATTGGGATTTGCCTGTTTATCAGCATCCGTTGTTGATGTATAAACATCACGAGCAGATCCATCAACAACACGCATTTCAATTGTTTCATTCGTTCTCATTGCAGAGACAAGCATGTCAACTACCTTAAAAAAATAATATTTTGTTTTGTTTAGTATCATGGATTATTCTTTCAAAATAAAATTCATATTTCAAATATAGAACAGTACATACTTGCTCATATTTAACATTTCTTACATCGACACCATCGACTTCTAATACTTCATCATTAACTTGTAAGCCAGCGACATCAGCTGCTGAATACTATTGAATAACAAATCAAAGGACAATAAATTATAAATCAATAAAATTAGAATTTAGTTAACAAACTTTTTCAACAGCTGTAATTGTATGATCGTAATCACCGGTGGCACTAAGAACAAAGCCAAGACCTTTATTACGATCTACTTTGAGTACACAACGACGAGGACCTCGAAGATAGTCAAATGATCCAGTTGATATTGTTGAACGAACTGTATCATGAATTGTTGAAACAGGTACAGTTGTTGTGTTATTAGCAACTGTATCAAGTGATTGTGAAACGCGTGGTACTTCTAATCGATTATGTCCGACACGGACAGTTGGTGGAGAAGGTGCACGTGTTTTTGAACTAACTTTTGCTTTTGGAGGAGCATCATAGTCAACTACAGGAAAAAAAGCATAGAAGATAAAATAATTTATTCACTTCTATTCTACATATCATCTATTTATATTGACAAAAGAAAAAACTCTTGTCGAACTC